CCCTTCCAATCTCGCCACAGCCCAGTCATCGCATTCTTCTCTTTCAATTGTAGAAATATTTTTGGCAATACAATATATCAAAAGACACTCTGGTTTGTTTACCACCTAGTTTATAACAATTCCTCCTACAGATCCACACGGTGGCAAAATGCTTGGGATTTCTTGAGACTTAAAATTAATAATATTTGATAAGTATCGCGTAGATGAACCCATCATTTCTCGCTTTTACAGAATTTCAAGCCTGCATTTCATCTTATTAACCTAACGTTTTTTTTTTGTGCACATAATTTTTTTTATAAGTGGAAAGTTCTTTAAAGAACCAGTGAAAATGTGGTGGGGAAAAAAAGGCTTACATAACATCATTTAAGGGCTATTGTTCCCTCTGTTCTGTAGCTATAGTACGCTGCGCCATTAACTACTTTTCATCATTGTAATGGTGGCTCCTGGTAGTCTTTAATCCCAAAAGACTTTTTGAATGTGAAAAAAATCATAATGCGATAATAAGTTTCTTACGGTTTTCTCTGTTTCCTTCCAGAATCTACAGAAATATGTTGGAAATACCAACTTTTCTCACATGTCCGGTTAAGATTCTTCCTTTTTCTATTTGTTTTATGTATTAAAAAATCTATTTCATTGTAAATCTTTAAGGCAGCTCCATTCCAATTCTTTTATTGGGAGATCTCGTAAGAGACTTATCAGCTAAGTGTTACCTGTTTGTCTTATAGTGGCTTATGCTTCCTTTTATTTCTATTTTCTGGACTCTGTACATAGTGACTCCAGTTTAGCTATTTAGTTTGGCCTTGAAATTCAACGCCATCCTTGACCATCTGTGATTGTTGCTTGGATTTCTGTCATGACAGCTATATTTTTGAATTTACTGAACAGATTGATATGAGAACATCTCTTACCTGCAATGGCTTCGGCATCAGTGATATTTTAAGTGCTCCCCATGTCCTGGGACTAGTCCACTTGATTTTGAGACCAAATTCTTCTACCTTTAATCCTTATTGCATACTTAGTTCGTCGATTTATCCACAGATTGTACCTTAAGGCTAAATCTCTTCGAAAATATTATAAATCTAGAAGACTGCAATCTGCAATTAGGTAGAAATGTGTGGTGTTTAGTGACCGTGAGATCGTGAGATGGTGTGAAGTAGGATTTAGAAAAACATTTTCTTTGTCGTGCCAACATTTTGATCTTTATTAGGATCATCTTCAACCCCAGGCCCTGAAGATGAAAGAAAATGTTTTTCTAAAACGTATGTCACACCAGACCGCATCTCACGATCTCCAAATAATTTTTTACTTAGGACTAAGTCGTGAATTCATTTGTCTTCTCATTTTTGTAATACTGCAAATTCTTGTGTTTCGTAAACGAGTTTATAAAGCTTAACATTTCAGAATTCACACTAATTTGTTTACAAAACGTTTAAGAAAATCTGTAATTTTTGGCTGTATTTTTTTTTTAAGTTCATGTAAATGCACCGCCACATACGCAGATATTAACAAGTCATCCCTCTTCTACACAAGCTTCACTCATGTTACAAAACCACATATCAACAATTGAAAAATGGAACAATCTTTGGAAAATAAAGTTTAATCCTTCAAAGTCACAACGTATCAACGTACACTCCGTCGTGAGACTTGTCCTAGCTTATACCCATACAATGAACCTGTTCCTCAGTCCGACAAAGTTAACTATTTAGGACTTACATTTGATAGAAGACTAACATATTTCAGACGTTTTCATAGTAAATGACAAAATCGCATTAACGCACAAATACAATTACTCTATTCTCCACAATTACCACTAAAGTCTGAAAAGAATATGGTTAAGAGTCTCTTAAATCTCTTAAATGATTAATATCATTTCATTAATCCAGAACGGCTGCCAATGGGTAGCTTTCTCTATAACGCCCGTAATGCCACAAACACAAATTACCCAATCTAGATTCAAATAAATGAAGTAAAAATAAGTTCATGTACAATGCAAAAAATATTTGCATAAGGAAAAATTTTTCGCGTGAAAAATACGATCCTAAAGAGAAATTCATGGTAAACCAGCAACCGAATGAAGCATGTAAAAGTAAGCGTGATCGACGTGAACTTGCACTTCAGTCTGAATTGTTTACGCCATAACTCCATCAAAGTCACTTATGCATACTGACAGAGGAAAGATTTTTTTTAAATTTTGCAAACAATTTAGTTCAAATTCTATGATGCTAAGGATAAAAAATCCATGTATAAAACGAAAAAATGTAGAACCGAATACTATAGAGTACGTTTAGATTTTTTTTTCAATATTAATTTACAATAAAATTGGTTGATATGTAATTATTTTAAGAGTCATTGGAGGATTATTTTAACTAGGTGAGAGCCGTAGTCATCCTGTCGAATTTTACCTCCGGGGCTATAGAAAATTAGATCATTCGGCTAGTAAGCCATGCATCTAGTAACAGGGTTTACAAATTTGCCATGAATCACACAGATTCATCCTATACCTCATGCTTAACTAAATTTATTGTTATTTACACACCTCACTCCATAGGGGCGAAGAAATATGGATATACGCAGGTACGAAACGTTCAATTTGGCAGAGTAACATCGGATTTTATAATTTTTCATTGATATCCGTATGTAAATCTGAATAACAAACATTGAACACTACCCGCCGTATTCACTGGACAATAGAGAAATATCGATCGATATTTTCTGAGAAATGTCGGTATGTGCAGATTCTAAACAGAGGCATATGGACCTCCACAGCTAATGTCGGATTATGGTGTTACATATCAACACAAGAAAGTCATAAAAAAATAGATCATTATAACCTGGTCAAATTATAACCTTTCTTGATCATTTTGTATTCACCGGTGTACTAGTAGTATTGAATTGATGCTACATAGGGCGCGGGAAAAGTAAAAACCTGGTGCATCTCAAATACAAAAGAGTATCACACCCTAACCCTTCTGCGGGATATGGATCCATACCATCACGGATCATTTTAGAATAGAACAAGGGTGCGAATGATTAAACATTGAAAATAACTCGGTCAAGAAGAATGCCCTAACTTTATTTTAAAATAGCGAATGAAAGGAAGCAGGAAATACATCGAATCTTAGTTTCTCAACTGGATCCTGCCGAAATGAAAAAAGGTTGATATCAACCAACCCGGTATGTGTTAAATTTCCAAAGAAGCAGGAGAAATCCTTTCACCCTTAATCATATTGTGGTGCTACCCTCCTCCAAATTGTTTTGGGACTTTGTCAAATAATCAAATTCTTCGAAGCGTATGTTGGCGAAATACGCCGACAGGCAAAAAATTCCACCCTCTTGTATATAACTTTATTTGTACATGTTTTTATATATTAATCAAAGTTTCCTGTTTTTTAACGTTTAATAATTGTTTATTTGTCTAAAAGAGTAGAAAAAAGTAAATTGCTAAGAAAATGAAAAAAAAGACAGACAGATAAAATTTGTTTTAATTTTGTTTTAGATTTTTATCGAAGGCATATCAAAGATGCCTCGGCATACTTCCGACCAGTCTGGAAATGTCTCTTCTTCACGAAGTCTGGAGAACGGGCGGGCTGGCTAGGCTAAGACCCTGAAGTTATGCTGTTGAAGTTACGTTTGTACTATGCGAGCGACATGTGAACGGGCATTATCGTGCTTTAGAATAGGATTGTCGCTGATTTCGTCGAGGATAGGGAAAGCAAGATGTTCCAAAATTTCATCCACATAGCGAGTGGCCGTCAAAGACCATCCGCGAACACCAGCCAACTCTGTGTGACTCTCCATCGGAATTCCTGCGCACACCATCACTGAGCTACTTTGAAAAGGTTGGCTGTGGGCAAAATTACAGACTTCGCACCTTTCATTTCGCCTTCTCAACACTATTTCACCCCTATCTGGAGATTGTAGAGTAAATATACACTCATCAGTAAAAAGTACAGAAAAACAATCGTCAAAAGACTAATGGCTGTGTTCTCGAGCAAATGCGAGCCGTGCAACTCTGTGTCCTCGTCAATTCTGGTCCTCTTACGGTGCGAACAGCCATCAGTCCATTAATCTTCTTCGAGCAGTGCGTTCAGAAATTTGGACACCTCGAACATCCTCGAGCTGATGAATCGCTTAGGTAGTAAGGTGCCGGTTTCACAAAGTTAAAAAATGGTCATCCTGTGGTTCTGTTACCTTAGGGCGTCCAGAACCGTGCCTTCTGTGGTAGGACCCAGTTTCTCGAAAACACATAACGGCATCTCGCCGAGTTTCGTCGGGAACCCCGTTGGCAATAGCCGCATACCTGATGGAACGTCCATCATCAATAAGTGCCACACCACCCGCAACATCCTCATCACTGGCATTTTTAAGTTTAAAAATTGAAATTAACAAAACAAAGATGAAACTAAACAGTTTATTGCTTCAGAATTTAAATGATTCTGTATAAATATTTTAAATTCCATAAAAAGTAAGCATTGAAAAATTCTTTATCCTTGTTTTGGATTAAGGATTAAGTGTATTTACGTCTAATTGATATTCCCAATATACAACATAGCATAAACAAATATTTATTGGTAAAAACAATGAAACAAATTAAGGGCAGAATTTTCTTTTATCGAGAAAATGAAAAAAAAATCGTTTGGGAGAAATTGTTTGCCTGTCAATGTATATGACTCTCTTACTGGCGTCGAATAGCATAATCTTGAAATTTCAGTTGAATAAATCAATCCAGCGTCATAATGAATTTTCAGTCAAATTTTATGCAGTGTGACATTACATCCAACTAATGAGTGTCGACACTTCAATGTAACTCCGGCACAGTATATACAGCAATGTATATGACATACTTTAACTTCCTTAAGAACGATTCCACTTCCCGGGCTAAGGTTACCTACACCTTCCCTACGTCCATGTCTTGGCATATCAGAGTTACAAGCCCTCTCTTTCTTCTATTCTATATTTTTGTTGTTGCTTTTATCTGTAATAGGTTTGAGATGGCTCACCGTGTACGTCGAGGCAGCCAAGCTGCTTCTTCATTGTGTTCGTGTTGATCTGGCACATGTAGCAGCCCCGATCTGAGTACTTGACCTGCCGGATGTGAAGCCTCCAAGTCTCGCTGTCCGGCTCGTGACTGACGCTCACGCGGAAGTTGTGCGTGACGACCCGCGTGTCGAGACTCAAAACGGTTTGGTCTTCCGCTCTCAGCCATCCAACCTGCAAAGAAGAAAAGATGTTCAAACACATTTCCATTTCCAAGGCAAAAATAAATAAACTTTTACTAGTCTTTTAATTGGTTACGTAATTAATTTGTTTAATAAATGGTCAAATAGTCGAATCACAGTTTTGCGGGGGTATTAGGCAACAGAACTAAAAACAACAGTAATTGATAACTTACTTGTGCCACCATGGTTTTTTCTAAACTATTCAACCTTGAAAAAAGTAAACCTGTTTGTTTTAGCATAAGCTCTGCTTTCAAACATTAAGATAATTTATTTTTGTTAAATCGTAACTTATATTTTTATTGGCAGATTCGCCAAGTGCATTCGATTTTATGAAAAAACCCATTTGAAAATCGTTTCGATAAAATATTAGACATTACAAAAAGTAATAGGTTAAATCAGTTTCTGAAAAATTTTGCCATTGTTTTTAATTAAAAATGAATTTTTCTTTTGGTTTTCTTTTTCGTTTATGTCACTTAAACTTATTTTTTCAGACCGACCGTTGGCAAACATAAATAAGAAAATTATAATTCAGTCCTAGCTTATTAAAAGAGGAAAATGGCTTTTCCGCGGACTGGTAAATGTAGATAATTAAACTCGACGTTAATAACGAATGAGAAACATTTGAAATATTTAAATCCATTTAGATTGTTTTAGAGTAAAGGTTGACCTCCAATTTTATAGAACAATTTAACTTTTTTAATCTCACAATGGCAAGATGTTATACGCTGGATCTAATGTTGGATTATCCTCAATCCAAAACACTGTCCAATTTTCATAAAGGAAAACTCAAAGGTCTATTGACCAAATTACTTCTTTCAATTACTTAACCTTTTTATGTAAGGTTTTGGTTGAACTGAAAAAGTTTCACGAGCGGGATGGATGATCAGAGTGGATCGAAGTCACGACAGCTCAAGTGGTTAGGGCAGCGGTGTATTTAGCCGATGATTGTGGGTTCGAATCGCGCTCGTGACACTAACTTTTTCAGTTCAACCAAAATATTACAGAAAAAGATTAAATAAATGAAAACGTTGATCAAGCCAAAAAAATTTAAGATCCTACTTAAGATCCCATTGATGATATGAAGTGAAAATTGGTTGGACAAGCAGAAACATAACTTTTGGTGTCGGCACAACGACCTGGCGCATAGGACCGAAGTTCTCCATCATTGTTTAGATCTCTTCGTTAAGTTTAGGGGTTTTGCAGACGTTCTGAATTGGTGCTTCAGTAAACTACTGTGTTATTGTGCCAAAAATTTATTCTTACCCTGAAAAATAACGCGAAAGGGCTTAAGGTCGATAGGTTGATTGAACCTTTCTTGGACAATTGGAAAGTGGCCAGCGTTACTCTCGGCTGGTAGAGCTCCGCGATCGTGGGTTCGATTCCTACGGTCGTCGGTGGTATTTTTTCACGCACCCCTTCCCCCCCCCCAAAAAAAAAGATACAATTCATTACTATCTGGCTAATATTGATAAACAATGCGATTAAAGAGGTTAAAAAAGAGTAACACCGCTCACAAGGGTTTGAACCAAAGTTTTGTAAAACTTGTCTCTTGTTAACCTGTATGAAAACGATAATGAAAAAAATGCGAAATGATAAACAGGGATAAAATATAAGAAGATATCTTTTTAAAAAGCTGTTATTATATTTGAAGATATCAAAGTTAAAGAAATTTAGCGAAAAGTTCCTGTTGAGTTGTTGGGGCAGGGCCAAATATTTCAGGAAAAGGGGCTTAACCATGTCAAGGAGTGCCCTAAGACCCGAGCTATGTCTTTGCATAAGTTTATCCTCGAGCTTTAAGTCCCTGAGTGGATCTCGCTGCCACAAAGGGAAGAAGCATCGCCGCCATTTTGCCTCAAAAGCAAACCATCTACAATAATAAGACGGCCTTAGGGAGTATATATTACAATTACCCGACCCTTTTTAAATTTATGATAACAGAGATAAATATTTGATAATAGAAAATATGAGCTCATCTTAATCTCAATTTCACGTCTTTCTTAACCGTTTCAAAAAGGAAAACGTTTGCCGAAATGATAGAATGTAGGAACGTGAAAAGAAAGTTCATACAATCAATCACGAAAATTGTACCTAATGGCGCTGCCTTATTTTAAAACGGGTTTTATATTCAAATTTACCCCCGTCAATTACACAATAGAAACCTTTTTCGACTGATAACAAACCGTCGTTTAAATTTGATTTCAGGAAAATCGGTTTGGAAAAACGCTAACACATTCGATATTGTCATGTATGTATCATCAACTCAAAACAAATTTCGATTTTTTTACTGATGACACATTGATATGTCGTTAAGTCCATTGTTCCGCTGTACGGTCAACATTGTAACCTAGTGACCATGTTCGCATAAATTACCCTTTGTGAGATGTTTCAAAGGTAAGCTTGCTATTGAAATTAATGGAATTAACTCTAAACTATTGATCGGTAAACACAGGAAATATTAATTTTTTAACTGTTAGCAAATGAATACAAATTGACCAACAAATTAAAAAATTGTTCAAATTATTTTATCTTTCTTTGTCTAGTTGTTTATTATAGTCTGATCTTTGCGTTTTTTTAAATATCGTATTTGAAAATAATGGTGCCACGGTATAAGGCAAGACCAAAAAAGGACAACAAATTTACAAAACTTATTCTCGAACAACGTTTTTCACGCTTCGAAAAACTGGAAGTCTGTATAGGACAGTTCAGAAGAATAATGTGAATCTGCTACGATTTCATAGCCAAGCTTCTTTAATATGTTCAGCCTGTATTGGGGCCAAGAAATAGCTCATTTTTTGACGTGCAAGCAAAGAAAAAAAACCAAATCAATTGACGTTTCGGCTTTTGGTATTCACGTATGTAAACCCACTTTATTAAAGAAGTTTTTACGATTCTCGAATTTTTCATGTTAGACATTCTAGAATCAAATCCCGGCTCAGGCCTTGGAGTTTTAACGGTCAAGTGCAAAGTGATCCCCCCCCCCCGTCAAAAACATCCAATAGATCTTTGGACGTTAACTTATCAGACAAGAATTTCTTCCATTTAAATTTTTTGTTTGAAGTGGAGTTTCAATCTTCATGGAGGTCATTGGACAGGTGAAGAAAGAAGAAGACTAATTGTTGGGTTTACCAAGCTTTCGGCAACTTATAGTGCCATCATCAAGGCCTATTTATTAAAAATTAAAAAATATATAAAAAATAAGTAATATAAAATTAACAAAATAAAATAATGTGCATACTTTCCCAAGAGTGCAGAAAACGAAAAACATGGTAAAACTATTGTGAAAACGTCTTGAGTTTAAGATTATGAAGCACATGGCCAGCATACTTTTACACATTTAACATGGTGAAAATAGTCATCTATATAAAATTATAAATAGTTACAAATTTGCAAAAACAATAATTTATAATAAAACAATGAACCCAACAATTAGTCTTCTTCTTTCTTCACCTGTCTAATGACCTCCATGAAGATTGAAACTCCACATAGATTATCTGCAGGTCGATCAACAAACATCATATTTTTTGTTTGATTTCATATGTCTTAAAACAAGTGGCAAGTTGTGCTGCATTTTTCGATTTGATACTTTCATACTTTCACAGCTCCACCATTTATGCAGATTGGAGTTGGTTTTCATTTGACTTATTTCCTGAAGAAAACTTTCAGAACCAAATGCGGATAGGTTTTTTTATTGGAACTCCCTTAACATCCTGATTAATATTCTGTACGGCTTGGGCAGTTTAAACTCCTAAAAATTATTCTCCAGAAGTAGGACTTGTATGGCCTTTTAGTAGAAATAGTTTAACAAGTGTTTAACATTCTTATAAAGTAACTTCTTACCCTCCATTAAGTCATAATAACTGTTTTATCTCATAATTTTAATTTTCTCATATTTTTAAAATTTTTGTTTGTGTATTCAACTATATTGCTTGACGTTCCAATACTCAATTCCACCTCTTGCTCATTGTTTTTCCCCGGACATTCTGCCTTTTAAAACAATAACTATAATAATAAGAAAAACTATGTATGTCTATGTATAACCCAGTGCATTTACAGTTCATCTCCGCCATTTATTTTATTTTTATTTATTTTGTTATTTTACTTTGCGCATTATTGTGTCCAAACGTCGTGCCGTAATGGGAAACCAAGCTTGGTCGAACTTTACCACGACAAATTGGTATTTTAGTCTCATTATAAAGTCCACTTACAGGAAAGGTCCCTTTATGTTTTAGATTATTAAATGTTTGACCGATTTTGGTTTGAACTAATATTAATTGGCAATGTCAATTTTTGATCAAACGGGATAAAATAGATATTAACATGGAACACAAGGTTAAAATTCAACAGTGAGCAAGCTTGGACAGTTAGGACTTTTTCTACCATAGTTTTTATGTGCCATCCAGCATTTGTGGCTTGAAAAAAAAAGCCGTCGCGTCTTACCACTCTTTTTCATATGCTGCTGATGAGGCCTGTCGCACATACCATGTCGCATTTATCGACTCCCAATATAGTTCGATCCAAAGTGGCTTATTTTGCCAGTCTTTTTCGTTGCATTCGTTACGAACGCAGACTCCTTAATCCAACTTTACCCAACTTTCCATCCCCATCCCAACCGTCGTTCTCTTAGAGTTTTGCGAGTGTTCTCTATTACCTATTATGGTTCTGGGGGTCCATCAACATAGTCAAGGTTACTTTACTGTCTGGAAAACCATACCTGTGTTTTTTTGATAGGGTTAAGCCTTTTTTAGTTCTTTCGAAACGTTATTTATTCGCATACATCAGTGCCAGTAATTCCGTCCGTTGGAGCACCACCCAGCCAAGCGGAATGGCTCGCCTTCAGAGAAATTTCCTTCCTCGTTATGTGAGAGTAGCACATCCCACATAATTTCCGATTTTTCTGCTATCCATGAAAATAGAAAAGTTTTGTGTTTTTTTCGGAGATCGTGAGATACGGTCTCGTGTGACGTAGGTTTTAGATCTCTATCGTGCCACGTT